TCTGAGCAGAGACTGCGACGGAGGCCACAAACACCTGCCGTGGGGCAGAGCCTCAGTGGATGGTTCCACAGTGTGGTCCACATCCCTAGAAAGCGCCTACACCACTCAGTTGAGTTCCGTCTGGGTTTCCCTCGCGGCCGACCAATGCGCAGCAGCACTCCGAGCAGCGCCTCTCAGTCGCAAGCGACTGCGTCGTCTACGCTACGAGCCAGACTTCAGTGACAAAGTCACTCTCCAAGGCCCCGCAGGGCGGTGCTTTCGTGGCTGGAAGACTCCGCAGAAGCTTCCACAGTCGTGGACTTGCTTCCCAAAAGGCTCAAGGCTCATCCAGTGGATTGAAGCCTCCCAGAAAGCCATCATCGCCATCCCGCTGCAGCCTCTACACTGGGTGCGCAGAGCGCACCTGATCGATCACCCAGCCAGGGACATCGAGGCAGTGCCTCTATCCCTGAAGCGAGCCATTGCCGCCGAAGTACACGAGGACACTGTCCTGCTGGCCAAGCGCCGCACGGTGGCATCCATGCATATCTCTCGAACTTGCACAGAGTGCCAAGTCCGCGAGACCGAGGTACGTTCGTCGATTGACGCTCAGGTGAACAGCGTCACCAAGCCCAAGCAGACAGTAGCTTTAGCAAAGCTTCTGAACGAAATCGACTTTCCGGACAAGACTTTGGCCCAGCAGGTGCGAGAAGGCTTTCCCCTGCTTGGCTGGATACAACCCAGTGGGTTGTGGCCAGTGCAGATTCTGCCACCTTCTCTAGACGAGAAGTCACTACTGGAAAACGCCCAAAGCATCAGCATGCGAGGTGTTCGCAGCGCTCTGCGCCCCTCGCAAGACGGGATCTCGGACAGGGTCTGGGAAAGCACTATGGAGGAAGGCCAGCAGGGCTGGCTCTCTCTGGAAGACTTCTCGCCAGGGCAGCTGCACGAGACGATAGTATCGTCCCGTTTCGGCGTCGTTCAAAAGGGCAAAGTGCGCCCCATTGATAACTTCAAAAGCAGCTTCATTAACAGCTGCTGTGGGACCACAGAGAAGGTCCAAGTCGATAGCATCGACGAGCTTCTTGCAGTGTGCCTGGAGTGGCTTCGCCAAGGTGTTCCCGCAGAGCGGGCCCACCGCATTGTAGGCAGGACCTGGGACCTTAAGAGTGCCTACAAGCAGCTTGCAGTGCAGGCCGCACACAAGAAATTCGCGTGCATCGTCATGCTGGACCCACAGAGTGGGAAGGTCAAAATCGCCCACCTGCATAGCATGCCTTTCGGCGCCGTTGCCGCCGTGCACGCTTTCCTCCGCTGCAGCGAAGCGCTCAAAGCCATCGGCCGCGAAAAGCTTGCTTTAGTCATGACAAGCTTCTTTGACGACTTCACCGTCCTTACGCGCAGCGCGCATTCAAAGCTCGTCACGTTGGCAGTGTCCAACCTTTTTCACAAGCTGGGTTGGCAAGTGGCCACAGAGCCCAAGAAGAACGCAGACTTCAGCGAAGTCTTTGACGTGCTAGGCGTGCGAGTGGACTTGTCCAAGCAGCACCTCGGGGAAATCTCAGTGAGCAACAAGCCAACCCGCGCAGCAGAGCTGGGGTTGGTCCTCAGCGAGGCCCTCGCCCGCGGAAGCATGTCCCCTTTGGAAGCGCAGAGCCTGCGCGGCAGGCTCATTTTCGCTGAGCAGCAAGCCTGGGGTCGTAACACTCGCATGGCAGTGATCTGCGTAGGCGACGTTCTTGGGGATGGACCAGAGCAAGTCCCCCTAACAGAGCAGCAATGCCAAGCCATGGCGTTTCTGCTGCAGAGAGTCGTGCACGGACCGCCCAGGACAGTGTCCATCCATGCACGCCGCAAAGTGCACCTTTACATCGACGGGGCCTGCGAGTGGGAGACCCCAAGACTCGTGCCCAAGTGTGGCCTCGGGGCAGTGCTCATCGGAGAAGGCATCGCCTTCACCTGGGGGCTGCAGATCAGCAGCCACGTCACAGCCCAGTGGGCCGCCAGAGCTCAGAAGCAGCAGCTCGTCTACGAGTGCGAGCTGTTGCCCTACTTGCTGAGCCTCCAAATGTGGGCTAAGCACATAGCAGGCAGCGACCTGTTCGTCTGGATAGACAACGACGCAGCGCGTACCTCCCTGCACAAGGCCTTCACACGCAAAGTGGAAGGAGCTGCGATAGTCTCGCAGGCGGTGGACTTCGAAGAATCCCTGCAGTGCAGGGCCGCTTTCTTTCGAGTCCCCACAGACAGCAATATAGCTGATGGCCCCAGCAGAGACTGGTGGGAGGAGACACAACGGCTTGGCGCAGAGCGCCAATTTTTGCCGCCCAACGCAGTGTCGTTGGCTTTGTCACTCGGCGCGGACTAGATGGGGGGTGAGTAAGGCTTCGAGTGCCTTCAAGGGGGGTGAACCAGTCGTTCGCCTTACCACCGACCAGCGGTCGAGTTTTGGTTTGAAATGCCAGTGGCATCGTTTCGACATAGCCCGAAGATCGGGCCCGAACCGACCCCCCATGTCCGCTAGGAGAAAAAAAGAGAGTGCTTTGCACAGGGTCCTTTCTGCAGCGCAGTTAGGGTTTCCCAAACGCGCGCTAACGGAAGTTTCGTTGGAAAATAAGCATCCATCATGCGTGCGTGAATGGGTTTTATTTTCCGCCGAAAGTGTAGACAAAGTTTGTCGAAAAAGGAAAACAGTGTTTTCACTTGTGTGTGAGTGACACTAGACAAACTTTGCCGTGCAGCTTTCGGCTTGGAGTTGGATCTGTGATCCAAAAAGTTTTTGTCCCACCCACCACACCCTGTATAGTATGCGGGGTCCGGGACACCGCTTTGGCAGCAGAGCTGCCAGGAGCAGCGCTCCTATGCTCTCTCCCGCGGAGAGTTTTCAGCACAGAGTGCGCTTTTGTATATAGGCCGTAGGCCGTGCAGATGCAGAGTAGCACCTAGTAGCTGCAGTGACCCAGTAGGTCCTAGCATGTTTCACTTTATCTACCCGTGGTACGGGTTGTCCCCTAGTAGGGGGGGTGAACCAGTCGTTCGCCTTACCACCGACCAGCGGTCGAGTTTTGGTTTGAAATGCCAGTGGCATCGTTTCGACATAGCCCGAAGATCGGGCCCGAACCGACCCCCCATGTCCGCTAGGAGAAAAAAAGAGAGTGCTTTGCACAGGGTCCTTCCTGCAGCGCAGTTAGGGTTTCCCAAACGCGCGCTAACGGAAGTTTCGTTGGAAAATAAAGACACACAGACACACAGACACACAGACACACAGACACACAGACACACAGACACACAGACACACAGACACACAGACACACAGACACACAGACACACAGACACACAGACACACAGACACACAGACACACAGACACACACACAGACACACAGAGACACACAGACACACAGACACACAGACACACAGACACACAGACACACAGACACACAGACACACAGACACAGACACACAGAGACACAGAGACACAGAGACACAGAGACACAGAGACACAGAGACACAGAGACACAGAGACACACACACACAGAGACACAGAGACACAGAGACACAGAGACACAGACACAGAGACACAGAGACACAGAGACACAGAGACACAGAGACACAGAGACACAGAGACACAGAGACACAGAGACACACAGAGACACAGACACACAGACACACAGAGACACAGACACACAGAGACACAGACACACAGAGACACAGACACACAGACACAGAGACACAGAGACACAGAGACACAGAGACACAGAGACACAGAGACACAGAGACACAGAGACACACAGAGACACAGAGACACAGAGACACAGAGACACAGACACAGACACAGAGACACAGAGACAGAGACACAGAGACACAGACACAGAGAGACACAGAGACACAGACACACACAGAGACACAGAGACACAGAGATACAGACACACAGACAGAGACACAGACAGACACAGACAGACGACAGACACAGACACACACAGACACAGACACACACACACACACACAGACACACAGACACACAGACACAGACAGAGACAGACAGAGACAGACAGAGACAGACAGAGACAGACACAGACGACAGACAGACAGACACAGACAGACACAGACAGACACAGACAGACACAGACAGACACAGACAGACACAGACAGACACAGACAGACACAGACAGACACAGACAGACACAGACAGACACAGACAGACACAGACAGACACAGACAGACACAGACAGACACAGACAGACACAGACAGACACAGACAGACACAGACAGACACAGACAGACACAGACAGACACACAGACACACAGTCACACAGTCACACAGTCACACAGTCACACAGTCACACAGTCACACAGTCACACAGTCACACAGTCACACAGTCACACAGTCACACAGTCACACAGTCACACAGTCACACAGTCACACAGTCACACAGTCACACAGTCACACAGTCACACAGACACACAGACACACAGAGACACACACACACACACACGCGCGCACACATCACAGACACGTGAACACACACACACACACACATCTACCTTACATGGAATCACATATACATATACGGCATATACGTATCTGCGCGAAAACATCAGTATTTCTCATATGCACAGAGATAGGCGACCTCTTGCCGAACATAGATGTGGAGAGAACGCAACAGTTGATGTTGATGCTGACGATCAAGTTGTTGCGCTGGTGGTACAGTAATTACTACGATACCATTGAAGATTGAAGGAAGCCGAAGGTTTTTGTTTCTCACGGCTTTGAGGCATCTCTTTATGGGAGCTATAGACTATACGGCCACGGCCTGGTGTTTAGGTTCCAAGATTTCGGGTTGAACAGACATGCAAGACCGCCCAGCTGTAAGCCTTGATGGCCACAAACGAGATTCCAACAGCGCCGAAACCCTTATTCGGTTGAAGCGCAAGCCCTCAGCTCTTACTCTGGCTAGAATGCCTCCACTTCGATCTGGTTTCCTGGCTTGAAGCTTAGAGCCTACAACTTCTGCAAGACCAGGTTGGCCTAAAGTGGCAGCGGCTATTGGGATCGAGAGGTTTGAAGGCAGGAACTGTCACGAAAGCTCTTCAGGAGCTTCTGGGAGTTGTCGGGAAGAAAAGACCAAGAAGGAATTGCCGGAACGGCGCTCCTGCAGCTAGCAGCATCATGGCATGCCCTGTCAGTCTGCTGCCCGACGTTGTGTCGAGAGCCTTTGAGGCTCGCACGGTGTGAATAGAGCTCGACGGAGATTTTGGCAGGTCGATGAGCAACCTCTGCCCAAGCAGCAGGAGGCAGACAAACCTTCAGATCTTGAGCCTTGGGCAGTTAGCTTGCATCTAACCCTGCCTCCAAAAACTATTCGTCTTGATACTTCAAGTAGAGTTCTGGAATCCAACCTCGAAGTGTCGGCATGAAGGCTTACACTTTGCATGGAGAGTATTGATACACGCACGGTGCAATGATGGCATGACACAGTGATCTAGCTGGTATCTTAGCATGCACCACCGAATCTGACGGTGTGATTTGTGGCAGGGTTTTCAAGCCGCCGCTGGAAGTTTGATGGTTTGAGTCAGCCGGTTGAGGCGGTGCTTCTGCTGCTGGTGGTGGTGAAGTGGCAGCGGCAGTGCTGCTGCTGCTGATAATGATTCGGTGATCGTGATTTCGGTGACACTGCGTGACTGTCGGATGGTGATGGTGGTGGCCTTGGCGATGCGATGACGATGGGGGTCATGGTCATGATGGTGATGCTTGATGACGGTCATGCTTCACGTTGGACTTTGACTCTCCGAAGCGTTCAGGCGACTGACTGACCGACATGTTGAGTATATTTGGATATGGCATGACATCCATGATGCCATCAGCTTAGCTCAAGAGCTGCAGGGCCCATTGTCGAGCGGTGCCGGCGCCGTGGAGGCCCTGCGGATGTCACCATGGCAATGGGGTCGCTGCCTTTGGCTCTCGACTGGCACCGTCCCTATGTCAAAGACGGAGCGGGATCCGGTGACTACTTTTACTAATAATAATAATAATAATGATAATAATCTAACTATTAAAATGATAATCATAATATTAATAATAAAACAGAAGAAGAGACAGACCGACGGCTATTCAGCGTAAGCGTTAGCCCGGACTTGAAGATGAACATTGCTGGACTCGTTGGGTCACTGTGTCAACGGTGCACGAATTCCGGCATCTTCCCAGCGGCCCAAGCCAAAAGGCTTGAGAGGGTAGAACCCTAATCCGGGCCCGGGGAGGACAATGATGACGATGCTGGCAACGTGATAGCTGCTGGACTTGGCAATAGATTAAAGCTAAGTTGGCCTTTTCAGCGTGTGCCGGTTCAGGCAGATGGCATGTTGCATACTCTTCTGACCCATGACTCTCCTCAAAGGGTCTTCTTCGCAAGATGATCGGGCTCAAAATTGGCGCGGCATTATCCAAGAGGTGCGTTTCGCCACCATGGCGGCTGCAGCCGAAGTCTCCGATGCTGACTGGAACCGGCTTTTCGATATCGTCCGAGCCATGCAGCCATTGCATGTGCATGGCTCGGACGATATCAAACAGTCGGTTCCGGTCAGCATCGGAGACTTCAGCCAAGAAGGTCTTGTCAGAAGCCGACATGTCTTGGCGACATACGGCTCTCGGGCAAAACTTTCTTTTCATCGTGCGGCGCGACGCCGCCGAGGCTCTGAACTGCTGGCGAAGCAATGCGTCGCAATGGCATGTACGCTTTGCAGTCAATCTCTGAAGCCTGCGCGACGAAGTCGGAGGTCAAGTGGCAGAGAAGCGAGTTCGAGGAGAGCGTCTTCTTTGCACTGGAGTACGAGCACAAGAACGCTTTTGTGGAGATGGTGTTCGAGCGGCTCCTTGTACACGAGAGAGATGGATCATGCGCACCAATTACAAGGATGCAGGCTGGATCCGTTTCCCAAGTCAGGACACTGCCAGCCGCGAGGGGAGGACCAGGAGGGCCAGACCTCCGGGCGCCAGCAGAAGCAAAAGAGTCCAGGCCCGGGTTCCGACGGTGCAGCACCTCTCATGACCCCTGTCACAATCAAGACGGACGGCCCAAGAGAAGAAGGCATGGTCTAGCCAGTATCGCCGGGGTGCAAACCACAAAGAATAGTAATCATGGATGCTGAGAAAGGCTTTGATCTTGAGATTGATGGTCACACCTTTGCGATTTGGCAACGTGCGATGTTTGGGCTCAAAGCAGTTCACCGGGGGGTGTGAAAACCAACACGATCTGGTTACTGTGGCGGATGGCGAGGACAACCTTTACCGAGACGAGCTCTTTTAACTGTGATGGATTGAGAGCTGGCTGAGCCCACGCAGCCATCAGAAGATCAAAAGTGCTAATGGAGAAATAAAATCACTTGTAGCAACGTATCCCAGTTCGCACGAGATCTGGGATTTCAATTGAACTTGTCCGTTCTAAGGAGATTTGGAGATTACGGCGCAGGGGTGGACAGTGAGAGATCAACAGACAGAGACAAGTTTCATAAGAAATAGTTAAAACCCAACCGCATGCCCCATATGGGAGTTTCCAAAAATTGGGGGGCTCCTTATAATAACGATCCTACTATTGAGGGTACTATATTAAGGTCCCCTATTTTCGGAAACTCCCATAGGGACGAGAGAGATGCTGCTTGTCCTTGAGGTGTGAGAAGGTACAGGCATGGATTGGTTTGCAGGTCAGGAGGTGGGCAGCCAAGCATGCCACGACCGCGTGTACGTTTCTTGACCCAGCATGACACCTACTGGGAGACAGAAGCAAAGACGGTTGGAAATAAACGGAGACATTACACGATAAACAGTTAAATACATGGCAACAGCATACATGATAGAGACATAAACATAATGTGCATCCGCAGGCGACATTGGCCTGTCTCCGCGACAGTGACGGCTTTGCTCATGTGGCGCTGTCTGCAGACCTCGTCACGGCCCTACAGGTTTCATCGGGCTTCGTGTTTGCAGCAATTCCGAAGATTCTCAAACCTAACAGTTTTACGAGAGCCTTTGGTTGTGGGTTTGGTCAGAAGAACATGAGGATAAGGGCTACGTACGGCCTGCGTTTAGTAGAGCTAGAAGAAGAAATGTATCGACTGTAAGTTGAAGGCTTAAGCGCTAACATGCGGAGCTGTTGGTTTGAGCTAGCAGGACGCCTGAGGCCGAGCATCTTAAGGGCCCTAGCAGGCTGGACCGGCACTTACTGAGGCAGCTTTGTACTGCTGCTCGGAAACTCACGGGACATCACGGGACTATGAAAAAGCACCGAGGAGTTTGATACTGTAGCCAATGCAGCCCCTATTCTGAGGCAAGTGCCCAAATCGCTTCTCCCATGTACCGGCAGCATCTAGAAATTTAGAGGACCACGCACGCGAGCATGAGCGGAAGAATTGTGGCCCTGCCCGGACTCGCGTCAGTAGGCCATTGTATTGGGTTTAGGGTGGGGTTTAGCGTTGAGGGTTCAGGGGAATTTGCTGTTTTCAGCTCCAAAACTACTACATGAGCTGCAGGCACAGATTGACGGTCTCATCGTGACCTTGCAGAGCGCTGTAACATCTGCTGCCAACGCCTCGTGAGCTTCCCAGTCCAAACTGTCTCCAACACCCGGCTTCTGGGATTCAGAATTTCCGGGTTGGGCCTTAGGGGTTTACAGGGCTTGGGCTTTAGGGCTTCGATGGGTTTTTCAGATTTGCTTCAGCTGGCTTTTGTTGCGTTGGGTTCGATTTTGAGGTTTTGGGCTCGGGCCGTAGCCCGAGCCACCCGAAGGAAACCGTGTGCAAGCTAGTGCTTGGAGCGGGGTTCCACACGGCAGAAAGATCTGTTGCAACTGAAAGTGTCGTCAGGAATGAGCATCCCCACCATGAAGTTATTACGGAACCTAAAGTCCCAACCATTAAGGGCCTACAGTCTACGGAAAAGCCATTCTCTTCTGAAGCTGAGCTGGAGCCTCTTTCTCTCAGGAGCCTATGCTTCCATGCCTTCGTCCTTCCCCAGCAGAAAGACTTCGTCATCGAGGTCTTCGTGGACCTGTGGGCTGTTCCGATACATACCAGCAGAATGACGATAAACAAGAGCATGTCTTGAAGTATCCAGTCGCCTACGGCGAAATCGCGTCGCATCACGACCGTCTTCATGCGTTTTGACCTATCACAGCTGCTATGGCCACACAACTAATGTCGCCATCGCAGCGTCCCCGTCGTCGGAATTACGGTTGCCACGTGGTGCAATTCCTCAAAGGCTCCCTTCGAAAAAGTGGGACCCAAGACCCGACATAGACCCCTTAACCCTACAGCAAAAACAGAACCCCAGTCCAGTTGTTAATACTGTGTTGGGGTTCCTTCTTGTAGTTATTGGCATAATTTACCCCCAAACAGTCTTCTAAGTATTAAGGCCCCTTCATTACGCAAATCAGCAGTGTGGACCTGGTAGCAGCACGATGGGTGGTAAGTAAGGTGCTGGTGGTGCTGCTGGTGCTGCTGCTGGTGCTGGCAAGAGCGATGGCTTGAGAAACCCTCCAAAACCCTAAACCCTAAACCCCCCGAGCCCGAGCCCAAAACTAAACCCCCAATATCCTGAGCCTGAAGGATTGTGCCCTCGACTGCGTAACCCCCCCCCCCCCCCAGGGCCTTCGATGTGCCTTTGCGGAGACTTTGGTGGAGGATGGTGCCGGCCGAGGCGAAGCCGTTGTAATGGGTTTAGGCTGTTTCGAAGCTCGCTTCGAAAGCTTAGGGCCTAGGCTGAAGTTGCTTCCCTTAAGCCTGGGGTTCCTGGGGTTCGGGCGTTTTGGGACTCCGGGGTTATGGTTCACTTGCTTCAGGGGCTGTATGGTTTGATCGAAAGGTATGGGTTTGCTACGAAGTTCCATGGGGCAGGAGGGTCCATCTGCGAGATTTGATGCCACCCGAAAACCGAAGCAATCGCTGAAGAGTTTGGGGATTCACGGATTCAGAAGTCAGGTTTCAGGGCTTGGGGCGGTTGGGTTACTTGAGGGTTTGCACCCAAGACCCGAAATCTCCGACCCTAAACCCAAAATTCTCAAAGACCCTAGCACAAGCCCTAAAGCCCTGAGCCTTAAACCCGAAACCCCAACCGCTTACAATGCCTGAAACCCTGAACCCCAAGCCCTGAAGCCAGATCCCAATACCCCTGAATCAAGGAATAGACTTTAAACCATAGAGGTATAAGGCCCCTATAATTTAAGGTATATTGCTTAAGTAAGGGGTATTGCAGGCATCAATCTTGTAGTTTAAGGTATATTCCTTACTTAAGGGGTATTGGGATCTCTGAGTCATTAACTTACCTTTGGTTCGTAGGGAATGGAGGAATGGGGTACAATTAAAATTGCTATTGCTACCATTCTTCCATTCCCTACTAGCCAAAGGTAAGTTATAGGATTATTAAGGCCCCATATATGATAGTACCCTTATAGATCCCCTTATAGTCATCCTTATAGACCCCTTTGTAAGTTTATAGTAGAAGCCAGAAAGTTGGAACACCATTATCCCCATGCCCTTAAGGTAAAGTAGAGGGAATCCTAGCACAAATCATCCTAGATCCATGTTCCAACTTTCTGGGGTTCACTGTAATAGGATTACTAAGGCCCCATATATTATAGTACCCTTATAGATCCCCTTATAGTCATCCTTATAGATCCCTTTGTAAGTTTATAGTAGAAGCCAGAAAGTTGGAACACCATTATCCCCATGCCCTTAAGGTAAAGTAGAGGGAATCCTAGCACAAATCATCCTAAATCCATGTTCCACTTTTCTGGGGTTTACAGGATTATTAAGGCCCCATATATTATAGTACCCTTGTAGATCCCCTTATAGCCATCCTTCTAGACCCCTTTGTAAGTTTAGGTCTCTCCTGGCCCATCCTGGGAGCCTTCCGACTCCACGGCCGGTCCCAGCTCATCCTGCACGGCCCGGAGCTCTGCAGGGTTCGGGGCACCTGACAGGGTTTAGGGTTGAGGGTTTAGGGTTCCGGGTTTAGGGTTTAGGGTTTATAAGGGGCATGAATAATTAGAGTAGGGTGCCTTTAAAGGTGGCAATGTAATGAATATTGCAGGAGGAGGACTGTCTCACAGCATCAGAACCAGGAGGTGCTTTTCAGGCTTGTTCCAGCAGTTGTTGCAGCATGGGCCATGACGGTGATGCATGCAACATGGGCAGATGGCACAGGACAGGATGCATCGCAAGAGTAAGAGGGGTAGTCACGAATCAGCTAGCTGCAGGTCTGAATCCTGACCACATCTGGGCCGAGGCAGTTGCATGAACTGCTTCCAATCCGCTGGGTGTTGGGTCTGCACTTCTCTAGAACGCAAGCTGGTCGGATAACGCTGCCGGAGGTTGGAATGAACTCCACCGGCGTGCGTGCGAATCATTCGTCAGGAACCAAGATTCAGTGAAAGCGTGTGAACCTACTTTGGATCTGTCAGCCGTCGTCCGAGGGCCTCTGCCATCATGCTTGGTGAGACAGACCTGAGCAACTCACTTCGCAGAGGCCTTACCCATGCCTGCCATGCCAAAGCACCTAAGAAGCACTCAAGGCGGCTCCTTAAGCCCGAGCCCCAGAACCCAGATTCTGAAGCCCTGAACGAACCCGAAGCCAGGTCCAGGTGTTCTTTCGAGTTGTGCGTCGTGTGACTCTGTGGAAGAAAGGGGAGGGGTGCAATTGCTCCCTGCTCTAAGGCTCTGACACTGGGAACTTGGGAGCGGTGCAATGCGCCCGGAGTTTTTGCTTCGGGTTGGACTTGATTGTTTGGCTGTGTCGTCGTGAGCACCCTTCCATACCCTTCCTTAGTTTTTTGCATGCCTTTGTTCAGCCCATCATTGCTTGTCATGCTACTTCGTCTGATTCTGATCTTCGTTATTTGCTTGTTATCGTCGACGTTTTCATGACTGTGGCTGGTTCTGGTGGTGGCTAAAGGGTTATAATATGTGGGTTTCAGGGTTTCTGAAAGGGTCGCCCGATATTTGTTGGATGGGCTTTGTTGCAACTGTTGTGGTCTCAGGTTGGACAGTGTTGGCATGTGTATGGTCACTGAAGTCAGTCTTGCAGTAAGCATATGCTCCCCTCAAAAGCTACGCTGCACAACTACAGCCAAAACCCAATTCTGAGAGTATTGGATTCTTTGTGCCCTTAGCGTCGGCATCGTCGTCGTCGATTGCCGTTGTTTCTGCTTCTGGGAAGAGAAAGGTGGGTGTCTCGGTAGACGGCGGTGCTGGTGCTGGTGGTGTCACCGGTGGTAGTCGTAGCGATAGTCAGTGCTATAATCGTCATCAGTGCAACTACGAGGTGGTTTTGCGTCTCTCTTTAGTGTTCCTGGTCCCCTGGTGGCCCTGGTCCTTCACTTTTGCTTGAGTGAGTATACTCTGCATTGTGTGTTTTATGTTCTGTTACACATTATGTATTATATGCTGCCCAGGCACAACTTCGCGCGCTTCTCGCTCCACACCCTGCTTCCAGGACTGTCGCGAGCCTCCGCCTCGGAGGACCTTTGATGCTGAGACGACTTCCGCAAAATACTGCAGCCACCTCCGCTAGTTTTCTTGGGGCATGATGCCGCCACCACCACCACCGCCGCCACCACCACCACCACCACCACCACCACCACCACCACCACCACCACCACAATTTGTGAGTAGCAGGTGGTGTATCTGGACGTGGATGTCGTTGTCAAGGGAGACCTCGCCGAGCTCTACAACGTCACCATGAGTACAGCACTTGGAAGGGACATGACCTGCAGCCTCGAGCCGTAGCGAGACATGTAAAGGACCGCAGACCAGATTCCAAGGCACAGTGAACGGTGCTCCGGGCACGGTGGCAGCTGTCCAGCGAAGCAACCAGCCTCTGCGGACTTATGTCGACGTTCTGCAGCCAGTGAGGGACTCAACACAACCATTGCAAAGATGCCCCAAACCCTGAAGCCGTTGAGAATTTTTCTGCGAGAGCTCTCCGAAGTTTCAAGAGTCTCAGCACTTTTCGTCTGTTTGAGTCTCTGTGTGCATCTTCGTCTGCACAGTGGCACTGGTTTGGGTCTTATTGGAATTGTCGGTGTGACCTGTAGTGCTTCTCCTGCAGATGATGACAACTGCCATATTCTCTTCTCATGATGACCATGATAATGAGGATTATCGCGTTTGTTTCCAGTGCTGTTCTTGCGAAAGGGATTGTGGCCGCGATTGGCAGATAGGTCGTTTCCGTACTCTGGCGGGCTTGCAGGAGTAGCTCGCCTGCTGGGATGAACCAAGCCTTGCACTCTTGAGTACTCTGAACGGCTCTAGGGGTTGATCACGGTTATCTGACCCGACTTGATGTGCCAGATGTTCGTTTGGGTGTGCGAGGCCGTTCCCAGTTGGCTGCCCAGCGAAGCGCCCTCCTTCAATGCCGCTCGTCTACATGAATAACAAAATACCGACAGATGTGCTCGTCATGCTTCTGCTGTGTCTACAAGGGTTCTTGGCGTGTACATATATATCTATAGCTCCATATACACTGACATACATTCATACATGCATCATGTGTACGTGTGCATACTCCGCATATAAGTATGAATAAATAATTCACCAGTTGAATAGATGAATATAAATAAATAAAATAAATAACATAAATAAGTAAATATATATATATATATACATACACACTGCAATATGTAACATCTGTAGATTGAAGCTATAGAGTACACACATACGTACACACACAGACATGTATGTAGGTAAGTAAGTATGTATGCATGCATGCATATATATATATATATATATATGTGTGTGTGTGTAACAGGTAGTATGTAATGTCTAATATACAAGATATCATGGATTACATCATATATGATTCTTACGGTACTCGACATTGCATAGCATATGCTGCATAATTTGTTCAGAGTGTGCGTCTATCTATGTATATATATATATATAGAGTTGGCACATATTAAGCTCTCGCCCTCTATATATGTACATATGTGTACACTCACACGATGATATCTGACATATGACATACAAAAAGTAATATATAGTATATGGCATTCAACATTTAGTAGGTAGTACAAGCTGTACATTTAAAGTAGAAACAAGCAACATATGTTGCACATTACTACATGACCTTTAGTGTAACAAGATATACTATACAATATAGACTATACACGAAATATTGGCATAGACAAGCATACAATTTGCCTTCCAATCGTCTTCACGTTTCTACTCTTCCTGCCTACCATCGCTGGGCTTTGTTGAGCAATGAAGCGTGCGAGGCGGGTGTAATGGTCATCGACCTTGCGCGCTGGAGGCGAGGTGGCGGTTGTGCGCCGAATTTCGGCATTAGCGGCACCCTCCACAGTGAGGATTTTTTAAAGACTTACGCACAGTGCGGAGCCCTAAATGTGGATTGCAGGACGGGGTTATTGATGGTGGTTGGTTTCAATGCACATCCTGGATGTTCCTGCCGATCACAGGTCGCAGCAGAATCACTTGCAATTCGAACCGTCCTCCAGACTCGGAGTGAATTCTGGCTGTAGAGGCAGCGCCATGCGTCACGTCTGGTTGCGGAGTGGATCGAAATGAACTCGTCACGACCCTGGGCTCGTCTCGATTCCAGCAGGCTTGAGCCCGGTGGTAGAGTCCAAGCTCTCTGGGCTGGCGGGTTCAGTGCCACTCAGGCGCCGGCGCCTGTGGCTGCACGGATCTCAGCCGCCCCTCCTACTGCTCTTCCATGACGAGGCCTGGAGACTTCTTTTTCACTACTTTTCTGGTGTTGTGGTTCTACCACTCCTAATGCAGAGATTAGTTTGGTGCTGGCTGAGGATGGCGATGTGATCACTCTGGGAAGACGCATTTTGCGTTGCTCATGATTGGATAGGCGAAGCAAAGTTCTGAGAAGAAGCAAGTGACGATGGTGGGGATGGGATGGTGACGTCAACAATATGTTCATCATAATAGTCGCCGCTTCCATTGCCTCTACCATGCAGCCACCGCCACCAGCACCACCCTCGCCACCCTGCCACCCCCGCCACTCCTGCCCGCCCTCACCACCCCCGGAACCGGAACCACCCGCACCACCCGCGCCACCCCCTGCCACCCCCACCCCCACCCCCACCACCACCCACCACCACCACCACCACCACCACCACCACCACCACCACCACCACCACCACCACCACCACCACCACCACCACCACCACCACCACCCACCACCACCACCACCACCACCACCACCACCACCACCACCACCACCACCACCACCACCACCACCACCACCACCACCACCACCACCACCACCACCACCACCACCACCACCACCACCACCATCACAACCACGACCGCCACCACGACCGCCACCATCCGCCACCACGGCCACCACGGCCACCACGGCCACCACCGCCACCACCGCCACCACCGCCGTTGTTGTGGTCATCGCCGTCATCATCGATATAGTCATCATTCATCATCGTCATCACCATCATCAGCAGTACCAGCATCTGCACCGCCCTCCTCCTCCTCCTCCTCCTCCTCCTCCTCCTCCTCCTCCTCCTCCATCACTCCTCCATCACTCCTCCATCACTCCTCCATCACCCTCACCGTCACCCTGACCCTCATCCTCGTCATGGTCATCGTCATCATCAGCCTCATCATCATGATCATCATCACAGCTTCAACATGATGATCGTGGTCGTGGTCGCTGGCATGAACCTGCAAGGGCAAAGGCCGAGGTTGACCTGAGGCCCGGAATTCCCCTCGCTCAGTCGGAAGATTCGGCAGGTGGTATCTCTGCACTGGTCCTGGAACGTGGATGGGCTAGGGCATCGCCTGAACTACCCCAAGCATGTGCGGCGTGCTCAGCGCTTTGCCATGATCCAGAGCGGCAGGGAGAGGGCCGTTTGAGAACGCGCGGCGCTGTTTGGTGGAATCGCCAATCCGAACTTATCACGGATCATGTGGTATTCGACTTCGACAATGGCTATGGTTAGGATCTTGCAAGGGTGGACGAGTTGCAAGCATGGCAGTTCTTCATACTAGTAACTAGTACCCCAGCTGACAGTTTGACATTCCTTCCTGACCCTCCCTGATGTGTGATTTCCCTTGTGATAGTACTGGAACCCAGTGTGCCCGAAACTTCTTGTCATCAATCGTGCCGATCGATGTCTGTGTCCTGCATAGATGTGCAGAGCCATGGAAAATCCATCGCCCGTTTCGCAAGACGCCTCTACCACTGTCGCCCTCAGTCCTCCTTTTACCGTCAACCCCAAAGCATGGAAACCTTGGATCTCACGGTTCCAGTCTCAGAGGAGGGGTGTTGCAGACACAATGTGGAAAGTGGTGACAGCAGCAGCCAAAATGATGGTCGCACAGATCCTGAAATTGCAAGGAGGACTGCAGCAAGATTCTGAATTCAGGAGCGGCAACGCGACATTGCAGACTCATTGCAAAAATGTTGCATAGTTCCTCCTGTTCATTTCGCTCTGCTCCTCGAGCCTTCTTGGCCGAGGCTGGCAGAGGCAAAGGCGGGCCGGGGGTATGCTGCTGATGTAGGCTTTTCGAGATACCGAAGGGTCATCGACGAGCGGTGTTTTATCGGGTTTCAGTACACGACATGGGCTATTCATCCAACTCCTCAGGTGCTTCACTGGACGGGGCCTTTGAAACCGTGGCGCCATCACGGTGTGAACCGCAAGCTGTGGGAGCCCCACACGCGTGAGTGCGGGGCTCGGCAAGGGCTCGGCTGGCTTTGCAGCATGTTGCGCGGGCACGCGCGTTTAGGCAACGGCCTTTTTTTCGTTGACATGCTAGCAGCGACGAAGTGTGACAGAGTGCTTGGTGGCTTGGTGATGATGTTTTGTACTTTCTAGTGTGTACAGGATTTTTTTCAGTCTCGGTATCATGGCCGTTACGAGGTACTGCCCGAAGTATTCCAACCGGGAGCATACGACGACTTGTCGGCCGGACAGCTGGTTCTGCTGAGCGCAGGGGGCCTTTCGCCTCTTTGTACATAGGACTTCAGGGGCTTGGAGGATGTCCCTCTGGGATAATGCACCGTTGCAGCTCGAAGCTCCGGGCAAAATTCAAAGCAGCAGCAAAAGAGGTAAGGCAACCAGCGAATCTTCAAGCCGAGCCTCCCACCACCCCTGTTTTCCAAGCTCCAGCAGCTAAACCTGTCCCTGCTAATGGTTATGAGCATTATCGGTACTGTCTGTATCATGATCATTGTTGGTCAAGACTGCAGCTCGTCATGCTCTGTTCATCATGCTGTACTTGCTGCTATCATGGCTTGGCCTGATTGATGCTGATCCGGTGCATGGTTAAAGACCGGCAAGTACCATGTCGTCCTTCCATTGAAAACTCTACTTAGAGCAAGCGTGATTGTTATTGTCGGCAGTCTCAGTCTTGTTCTGAATCTCACGTTGCTAATCTCATTGTTCTCGTTGCCCTCCATTGTCATTGTTCTGTCAGCCATGCCGGTTCCACTTGCCGTCTCGGTGCCTCTGGTCACCTGGATGGGCTGCCTGCTGCAGAGGAAGCTGGGGCTCTGGCCACACCAGGTCAGGCCCTGATGTGCCTCGCATGCACTTCACACCCTTCCTTGTCGCCGGGCCCCGGTTTCTTAGATTAGCGCCTTGGCCCTCCTTTACGTCAAACTGGCCGGAAGGGATCAAAACGGGGAAGGGAGCTTCTTTGAAGCTCTTGAACCTAAGTTCTGCAAGCCAGAAGCCGGGACGGCCCTAGCTCGCATGAGCCTGGTGACCTCCGAATTATGGGTGCTGGCTGCACGGCTCCGGGTATGTTGTGACCGCAGCGCATTGACGGCACTGGTGATCACCATACCCTGCCCTACTCGTTTAAGTCTAAGTCCAGGAAAATTCAAGGTCTTTTGTTGCTGGAAGGCTCGGACGTCTTGGCTCCGGGTCAGGAAGGAAAGCGAAGATGACGCGTGTCCCTGTCATCCAGTTTGGGCTGCAAGTTTCGAGCCGGCCGGAACGATCGTCCGATTGGAATCCTTGTTTGATAGCACCCCGCAGGCGAGGCGGAGTCATGAGCCGATGAGGTTGTTGAAGTCGCCTGCAAGCGTGGCAGCACGGCTGGCGGGAGCAGGAGTGCCGGGTGCAAACTCCAAGCTGTTCGGTGTCGTACCGTATAAACGCTTAGCTTGCTAAGCATCCCTGCTCTCCTGAAGCAGACGTGTCAGAGCCGTCGCACACGGCATGGAGCATGACGGCCGATATCTGCCTGGACTTCCAACTCTGAGTGTGAATCCTGAGAGGCCCAGGGTCTGACTTTCAAGAGTGTCAGTTGATGTGGGTTCCACACTGGCCTCAGTCCTCAGACGTTTGTAAGCCTTGGGGAACCAGCACGGCGGCCGAGAGGCCCGCCTGTGCCCAGAAAGTCGAGATGTGATCAGTGAGAAGTTGTCATCAGGTTTCGGATATTGAAAGCCAACCTTAGCAATGCAGGGCAGGCTCGGAGCTTCAAGGGCTTTCCAAGGGATGTGAGCGCCCGACTGAGGGGCTTCATGGCTGCAGACGAACTCTTGAGCTACCTGGACCCTGGTGCTCCGAAGAAGCTCTGCCCACGTTACTACGACCTACGATTCTAGTCGTTTTGGCACCGTGCCCTCAAGATACCCACCCCCCCAAACAAAGATCAACGAACTCTCATAAGTTATAACGCTCTTACACCCTGCACGGGCTGGGAGGAGGCATGCAGAAGCTTCGAAAGCTGATTTTGCGGGCGGTTTAAGGTTTAGGGCTGGGGCAGAGGGAGTAGGCATAGGGATTTTGGGGTTCAGGGCTCCTGAGCTTGCCGGCGCATTCCTTAGCGTTGTCATGATGGCCCTGGCGCTGAGGGGGCCGCTTGCTTCGCGGTGCAATTGCCGGAAGGCCACTCCGGTCACACAAACGAGGGCACAGCTTCCGAGCTTCGTCCTGAGGTCCTAAGGGCGCACCCAAATTGCCGTAGTTCTGGCCGGCGGCCGGCTGCTAAGACAGTTCACGGACTGCGCGGACGCTGGACGATGTCTCTACGGCCCGCTTGCTCATAGAGCTTCAGCTTGGACGTCTCTTTGCCATCCTCGCCGTTGACTGGGAGGAGTCACTTTTCTCGTACACAGCTCTGAGCCCTCGCTGGTTGGAATGGTTAGTTCGAAGGCGACAGAGACTTCAACAGGCTGCCGGCGCCACTGGGTCTTTCGGCAGGATGTTTTCCACGAGCATTTGGGTGAGGGACGTCGGCGAGGTCGACGAGCCTTGACACATGAGCTTGTATTTCGCAGACTTCTTTCGACTCCGAACACCTCGGATCTGTGGCCAGGGAGAGATGTCCCAAGATGTAAGCTGCATCTCCCTGGTTGCCTTCAGCTTCGGCGTCAGTAAGATCCTTTGCGCTATGCTTTGTAAATGACCCTATAAGGCCTGCGTCATGCATTGCCTGGCAGGTAGCCGTGTTTCTCCGTGTGCTTCGTGCCTCTCAGACTCCTGCACGCCTCTCAGGCCCTGCTTTTCGGATCCTTGCCACAGCAGCTTTGTTTTGTGGGGCCCACAAACCAGACCTCCCGTCGTTGCGTCCTTGGAAGGAGAGTCGCATCTGCTTTAGGCCACGTGCCGAGGTTGCACAGGGCCTCATGGTAGGCTCTCGGGCTTGATTTGCTGCGAAGTGGACAGCCCACTTGCACCTTGCACCAGGCCGTCGCCGCTAGCATCTCTTTGCCGTTCCAAAGTGTGCTGCAGCTTTTTTGCGGGTGCTTGCTGCAACAAGTGAAGTTCCTGGAAAGCCTCTCTGCCAGGAAGTGAAGAGACTATGCAGTTGCAAATGTGGGAGCGCGCTCCCCAGGTAGGGTGTTCCACCCCTTTGTTCCCACATGGGCTTCGGAGCCACAGCTGCTTCGAGCTGCTGGATGCTGTTTGGGACCGGGTGAAACTCCGAATATCTCCGAATCTGCGGATTGGGGCTTTACAGCTCACTGGAAGCTGCCAACCCTCGCCCCCCCTGTCGGCAGCCAGAGAGTGCCTAGAAGAATTGGAGAGCAATGTTAGACCATGAGGCCTTGAAAGCTCCCATCCAGTCGGTGAGTCTCTGACCGGCTTCCAGAGTTCTTGGTGACTTGACCTGGATCCTGGCGCCTTTCTATGTGCACTGCCGCCGGACCGAGCATCCTTGTCGGGGGGTACTAGCAGTGGCCGCAGCCCGACCACTGCAGAGTTTCGAAGTTTGCTAAGACGAGTGGAGAGCCCTTCTGCAGAATCCGAAGCTTTACGAGTATGGAAAGCAGTTTGCAGAGTTTCGGAGAGCTTGGGCACACTGCCAGATACTTTCAGCCTCGACACTTAGTACAGTCTCGGCATCTCAGGTCTCAGGTCCCAAGTCGTTAGGAAGGCCTCCGTCCAGCATCACTGTACCCTGCCTCTGCGCTCTTTGCTGCAAGCTCTGGGATGAGCTGGTCTGGTGATCCCTGAGGCACGCCACTGCCCACGAATACGAGGCTTATCGCCCTGGGTCTGATGTCGGCCTTGACAGCAGTCGGGCCTTCTAGAGACGTCGAGCTGCGACGCGCAACTTGCACAGACACAAGTAGCAACGTCTGCACATCTTCGGAGATGCAAGGTTTCACAGGCGGTTGCGTGTCCCTACCTCTTCTGGCGGTGCAGAGCTGTCTGTTCATTTCCGACGGAGCCAAGCGCCTGCTCAGCATGGTGAGCTCCGGTCTGCAAGTCAGGGATTCGTGACCACTGCGCCTGCACTGTGTTGCCGGGTGGTATGAATGTACGCCCGCCCTGGAGCTGGAGTCTTCGCAAGCAAAGAGGCAGTGTCGTGACGGGCCGTGTACTCAAGATTACTCAAGTGAAGGCTTGCCCAGGACAGTATGCTGCTGATTGCCCGCTTGGGGCTCAAGTGGGCCGGTCATTATAGCTTTCGGCTGGTTAAGTTGCCCACCGCCGGCGGGTGCAAGCCTTCGGAATGCATCATCTGGTCCCTCGAAAAAAGCGTTGTCAACATGTTTTGGTCTCCGTGCGTCGAGTCTCAGACGATGTTGACAAAGCACTGCAAGACGCTTGTGCAAAAAGAGCCGTTGCGGTGACGGCAGTGACGACGTGACTTCCGACTCCACACTGATCAGTTCGAGTGTAGCGATTGCTTTCAAGCGATCGCCCATCTTTCCGGAACTGGGCTGCAACTTGCTGGTTTGGACGGATTCTTCTCCTAGAGAGGTTTTCCCCCGAACTGAGAAGGTTTTTACATGCCGTACCCCTTCAGCCTCATAGACCAGAAGCCATGCTTCTAAACCTACGACGCCTCGTAGGTCAAAATGCTTGGCTTGAGGCTTCCGAGATGTGGCTTTAGAAACTGGCTTTGGGGATGAATGGCGGAATTAGAGTTGCAGGTGTTTGGGTTTTCGGGCTGAGCTTTGCTGTTGGGGCTTTATGTTAAAAGTCTGGGGTCTTGGAGTTATGGCTGCAAGTGATTGGTGTTCACGGCGACAGGTCTTGATGTTGCCTGCTCCTTCGAAACGTGACATGCTACGGCAGGTGCAGGAACCCGTGCATCCGGTCGCGATCCTTGTACTTTGACTTAGTATCGCTTCCGCGATTCGCTCGAAAGGGCTCCCAGGAATTGAAAAGCAGCAAGATGCCACATGCCGGCATCACTGGGAGACTGGCATCAATTTTCGTACCATGGGAATTGACCATGCGGGATCGCTGCAGTATTCGGCTGACCGAACCGCAAAACTCGCGAGGCTCTTAGTTGCTCGGTAGCAGCTGCGCAGCAGTATGGGAGCTCGGAAAGTTTCCAGGGTGTAAGAGCCCGAACCGTAACCTGAAAACCGAAACCCTCCGAACCCACGGCAAAATGTAGTGAGCTGCAGCTCAGATCTGCCTCCAGTCACTGTCCAAGCCATGGTCGGGACGGTTCCCCCAAAAAAGTCGGAGCCAAAGGCGATGGTTACAGGTTAGAGTTTAGGGTTTAAAGAG